TATGAAGCCAACGTTATTTCCTGCACACCACTCGGACAACCAGCGATTGAGTGAATCTAATCTGGGATTGGGTATGGACCAGAGACAGTTACTGAACGCGACAGTTTCTTAGCTTGGGCGCAGACAGACTTAAAACCACTCTTCATAATCTCTGATTGTCTTAAACGAACGTCATTTGCGCTGGCATGGAAAGTAATTTTGGAATGCTTGCGTTTACCCTTATCAAGTAATTTCAAATTTGCTTCGATATCCGTGACACGAGCGCCAGGAATACAGTCACTGCAGGAGTTGGTTTAAACACCCTAACGTTTCTCACTATGGAATCACCGATAATTAGTGTGTTTTCTGGCACTTGTTCGTACAGCTGTGGATCTTCGAGGGGAGCGAATGAATTAAATTGTTCAACAGGAGAGAGAGCAGATGGCTGTACGCGTTTCTTTCCCCTCCGTTTACCTCTAACTGTTACGAATGTGTCCTGCTGTGGGGACGCTACCGCAGCAGGTATGGAGTGGGAAACCGAAAGAGAACTAATATTAGCGCAACTATCAGGCTGGACAGAAAAAGAGTCAATGAACTCCTTATTGGTCCGAATATTTTGAAGATTCTCAATGCGAGCTTCCAACTCCAGAACCTCTTCAGCTAAACTGGCATAAGCAATGCATTTCTTACGTGTATAAGTGCCACTGAGGGTGGAAGTATCGTAACAAAACATACTGCATTCAGAACACAGGACAGGAAAAGAGATCGGGGAACAAGGGGAAGCAGCCATAGTTGGTTACACACGCTAGCTAGGTGCCGATGTGGTTTTTCAGGCTGAGTCAGAAGGTTGACATCACGGGCGTCTTGATGGAATGGCGATCGGCGAAATTTGCGGGGAAAAAATTCAAATTCCCAGGGAATCGGAAACTATAGTCTCAGGAAAGTTTATGAGGGTTTAAAACGGCTAATTATTTTAATATAAAAATTGAGGAATAAAAATGCTTGCACTGCAGGTGCTGAGAGTCGATCGTTTGGCAACGCGAAGACAGGAAACAGGAAACCTGTTTCAAACCAGACATCATTTTTCTTGGTAGAACCTTGGGCGTTTTGTATTGTTGTGTGGCAGCCATTGTATGAACTGGCCAACAGTCTGATGATTAGATCATCCATACCGAGGCTGACGGCTTCGATCATGTGTGAGTGTGATCCTGTGTCGAAGGCTTAGGCTTGGTCAATGAAGACCACAGCCAAAGGCACTTAGACCTTTTGCACATCCTGATGAGGCTATCAATGATGATTAGGTTTTCCGCACATCCTGGAGCATCTATGAAGCCTCTCTGTCTTGGGTGGGGGGTGCAGGTTTCAGCCAAGCATTTAGCCAGGATATTAGATAAAGATCTCAGGAGGATAGAACCAATGATGATTGGCCTCCAATTATTTAAGTCCTGCAGTTTTTCCAGGTTATTGGTTTTTGGGATGAGGGTGGTCCTACTTCCTTTCAAGCGTGGGGCAACTTCCCCAATAGCAAAATTCTGTTGAACAGTTTGCACAGTTTCATGCCTTTAGGATCCCATTTCAAGATGGCGCTCGCGTGTGATTGCATCGGGACCTGGAGCGCTGTTCTTGTCTAACTTTCTAAGGGCTCGGAGGACTGATAGGGCTATGGAAGACATGGTTATCAGCCATGGGAACATTGGCAAATTGTCCCAGTCCTTTGTATTCAGTTTCGGAGCCCCAAATTTTATTATAGGCCGTTTCGATTTCCTCTAAATCAATGGCACAAGTTGTGTCCTCTTTACCCTCAATAATCCATTTAGCCAGCTTAGCCCTGGATTTCCTCCACTTAAACTGTGTTAGTCTGTAGAGAGACTTGGGTTTGATTTTATGTATTAGAGGTGGTTTGAATGCCTTTGTGAGTTTTCACCATGGATTCGGTCTATGGAATGGCCTTTCGGAGTCTGATCTGTAATTTTCTTACAGATCTGTTGATATTTTTATGGTCCAACAGCTCAGCCGAGAAAGTGCCCCCGGTAGATTTGCTGAGCTTTCTATGGACTCGTTTTCTGGCCCTGTCAGTGGGGGGCACTATTGGGAGTGGAGCTTCAAGCCCATCAATATCAATACCAGCCAGCAGGTTAGAAGGGGCGGCAGGTCCCCTTAAAGTGTTCCTCTGTATGAGGCGGCACTTGGACAATATCTGTCTCTTTGAAAAGTTCTTTAAATGAGCCCTGTCTTCTTTATAAACTTCAGACTCTCCCCCTTTATCAGGAATGAGTTTAGTTGAAAAGTCCAGCTCCTCTTTGGACCATTTCACTTTGGGGCTAGAGTTTTTCCTGCTCTCGACAGCTGCCTTAAAGAAGGTCACGGAGTGGCTTTTACGCCTATGAATTGTCAGCCCCCTTTGGGATGGGAAGCTTTTGGGGCAAAGGTCGCACTTATGTGAACCGCTCGAGTTCTTTCTCCTTTTTCTTTCACTGCATCTGTTGACATGACTACAGGTAGATGCAAGAGTGGGTTTAGTCAAGGAGCACTTTCCGCACATAAACATAACTCTCCTCGCTTTATGCTTCTTGCGGAAGTGGGTAACTGCCTCTCTGGCGGAGTCCAGTTTTTCACAGCATAATGTGCAGGATTGAGCGCTCCATAGGATAACTATCCCAACCATAACTGAGGATTGGAAGCTCATTCTTGGTACCCATAGCAGTCCTCAAGTCATTCTGCCAACTGAGGAATCGAATGCAAGAAAGAATATTGGCTGCAGTAAAAAGCCCTCTGCGAGTCACACTTACATTAGTCTTTTCGCACCAGGGTGCCAATATTTCTGACCAGTGGGTTGCCCTTCGTAGGGGTGTGAAGCCTCAGTATTTTCATGACAGTATGTTTTTTAATGATTGAGCTGAGGCTAAAGCAGATTCTCCTGAATTTCAGGATTAAAGAGGCGTTCTGAATCTTTCTTGGCGTGTAGCTGGATGCAGGGACGGCGGGTCTTGCACCCTGGCCCGTCCCAAATTCTTGCTGTTTCCTCTCCGAAGCCATGCCGTCATTCATTCATTATCAAGTCACCGGGAAGCCATTTGACATTGGTTGGGCATTCTGAGGAGGTGACAGAGGAGAGAGAGGTAGAGGCCATGTAAGTACTTCATTTGTTTGCCGTTTATATTGTATCAAGTTAATTGATATTGATTTCATCACCCACTTTGGTTTTGCTAGAAAGACAGTGGGACAAAGGGAATCAGGATTGGATTTTTCAGGGACTTCATGGAATTCAACAGTCCGATATACGTGTACCTTCACTGACGACCGGGGTATATTCATTCTTAAGAGAGTCATAGTTACTCCCGCCGTTTACCTGCGCTTCATTGAATTTTTTCACTTTGACATTCAGAGCACTGGGCAGAAATCACATCGCGTCAACACCCACCTTTGGCCTTCACAATGCTTTGTTTTAATTAAACAGACGGATTCTCCTGGACTGCACCACTTCTAAGTCAGCTGCTAGGCACCGGCCGAGGCAACGCGAACGACTGCCAGTTTGCGCTGCAGCTGGGGTGATCCACAAGAAGGGTCTGGCGCGCGTCCAGAGTTGCCGCCGCCTGCCGACCCACCCCGCCCGCTGGCCCGCCTTCCCGGGGGCCCCGCCGGAAAGCGCCGCCAGCCGCGCTCACCCCGCCTCACCCCTGAGCCCCCTCCCCAAAGGAGGGCAAGGCGCAGCGACGAGCGCCCTCGGCCGAGCCCCTTTCCAAGCGGCGGCGGATGGGAAGGCACGGGGCGGCGCCTTGCCTAGCCGCGGCTCGCGCCTAGCTCCGCTTCGCACCCCAGCCTGACCGACCCAGCCCTTAGTGCCAATTCTTATCCCGAAGTTATGGATCTGACTTGCCGACTTCCCTTACCTGCCTTGTTCTAACATGCCAGAGGCTGTTCACCTTGGAGACCTGCTGCGGATATGGGTACAGCCCGGCACGAGATTTACACCATCTCCCCTGCATTTTCAAGGGCCAGCGAGAGCTCACCAGACGCCACCGGAACCGCGACGCTTTCCAAGGCTCGTGCCCCTCTCTCGGGGCAAACCCATTCCAGGGTGCCCTGCCTTTCACAAAGAAAAGAGAACTCTCCCCAGGGCTCCCGCCAGCTTCTCTGGGATTGGTTGCGCCACCGTACTAGATGCCTCGCGGGCCGGTCTCCGCCTTCCGGATTCGGGGATCTGAACCCGACTCCCTTTCGATCAGCCGGGGGTGACGGAGGCCATCGCCCCTCCCTTCTGAACGGTGTTCGCCCATCTCTTAGGACCAACTGACCCATGTTCGACTGCTGTTCACATGGAACCCTTCTCCACTTTGGCCTTCAAAGTACTCGTTTCTATATTTGCTACTAGACCAAGATCTGCACCCGCAGCGGCTCCACCCGGGCCCACGCCCTAGGCTTTCGTGTTCACCGCGGCGGCCCTCCTACTCATCGCAGCTTAGCCCTCACGGCTCTGACGGCCAGCGACGGCTGGGTATGGGCTCGACGCTCCAGCGCCATCCATTTTCAGGGCTAGTTGATTCGGCAGGTGAGTTGTTACACACTCCTTAGCGGGTTCTGACTTCCATGGCTACCGTCCTGAGGACAGCCCGACCCAGTCGACAGTCGCGTCGGAGGAGGGGGGCCCTGTCCCGAGCGTGAGCCCCCCGCGGCCCCCGCCGGACACACCGCAAAGGGACCGGCGGGGAGGTAGGGGGGGCGGCCAGGTAGGCGCGGCAGCGGATCGCTCTCTCGGCCCCCGGAAGCGGCAAGGTCGTGGCGGGAGGGGCTCTAATGCTTGGCGCCGGGGCAACGAGCCACCTTCCCCTCGGGCCCTTCCTGGCCAACCGGGAGCCCGGCGGCGGACGGGTCCGACTGGGCGGCGGTCCCAGAGAGGGAATCTGCCGACACCGGCACGGCTGACGCTCACCACCCAGTGGAATCCTCCGGGTGGACTGTGCGGACCCTACCCGTTTACCTCTCAACGGTTTCACCCGCCATGGTGGATGGCCAGCCTTCAGGGCTCGTAGGTCTAGGGGTACAATTCTCGCTTTGGGTGGGAGAGGTCCCAGGTTCAGTTCCCAGACGAGCCCTTGAGTGGTTCTTACTTGTGATCCTTTCCCAGCTACTTACTTGCCTAGCTGATTAATACTGTTCAGAGTTTGTATTGTTGCACAGAATTGGGACTCTATTCTCAGTCTAGTTGCTTGGCTGAACTACCTATGACATGCCATTATACCTCAGAGAATAGATTTAAGTCATGAATATTCTATATGATGGGCATGTGTCATCACTTGTGACACAAATGGATAAACACGCTTTTGATGACTTTAAAGGCTGTAGCTTGAGCTTAGCAATTGTCAATTGCCTCCATGACAGGTCATGTTTAGGCCCATGACTACTTCCGAACTGCCATCAAGCGGTTTGTCCTTGAACTAGATGACTGTTTTTGCTGTTGTAGGAATTTTACTCTATTTCACTTTATTCTGTAAAGTATTTACTGACACAGGATATCTGCATTTAAGTTTACAAGAGTGGTAATATTCAGCTTGGCCAAAAAACTCCGTGCCCTGCTCGTACTTATTTCTCTGGCGTCTGGTGTTGATTTTGACCTCCGAGCAAAATAAGAAAAATATATCTTTGAACCCTTCCCGAAATGCGCTTGTCCTTGATCTGATGCTCTCCAAACCTAGAGCTGTTCAGCCAAAATGGCTACAAAGAATTTGGTTGACTCATTTCTGTGCTTGACTTAGTGTTGTCAAAATACATCCATTTCTGAAATACTGGAATATGGAGACAGAGAAATCTTTGGGGATCGAGCTACAAATTTCAGCATGCGTCATTGTAGCTCCCGGACGAAGTAAGGCAACTACTATGGATTAACGCCTGTCGTCTCCGCCGCGTCCACGTCCGGAGACACTTTCTAGTGGACGCTCTACAGGCTGTCATTTTTGACCGATTTCTTTCATATTTTGTATGGACATATGTTGTACTTCTCATATGACACCTATCGATTTTGGTTGCCATGGCGACAGTATTGGCCAAATTATATGCAAATTAGTGGCAAAACATTGAGATTGTGGAGGAAGTACAGGCTGCAATTTTTGACCGATTTGGTTTGGACACGTGTCACACTTCACTTATGAAACCTATCAATATTTGTTGCCATGGCGACCATATTGGCCGAATAATATGCAGGTTTCTGCTGAAATACACAATCGCGTTTCAGGCTCTGCTTGACGGACTACTTTCATATTTAGCATTTGCATGTGTTATACTTCACTTATGACAACTATCGATTTTAGTTTCCACGACGACTTAGTCTGCTGATTTGCTAGCCACAAATTATCATTCAATTTACTGTGAAAACTTTATTTTTCATTTGTGGTATGTTGAACAGTATAAATAGTTTTGTATCATATTGCCAAGCCTTGTGCCAGTTCACTCACTGGCAAAAAAGTAGCATATGTAAGATGTAAATATTCCATCGAAGTGGATGACAAAATGTCTGTGAATGCATCTCATGTTACTCGTCATCATCTCAATACTAAATATCAGCGTGGAACTATTGAAAATGTTTTAACTGCCCTAAATGCAAAGCATAGACTATATGTTATCGCTGCTTCTGATTCTTGTATGATTAATGCAATGTAACAAAGTGCAGCATGTGAATAAATGTTCATGTATTATGATTATGACTTTTTTGTCTCTTTCTTTGTGAATAGGTTCTGGATGTGACTGCTTCCTGTTCCGCTTGTTTTTTGTTACATGGATTTATATTCAATGTGTCCTGTGGGTACAAAGTAAAAAAAAATATGTGTAATCTGTCATGATCTGTTGACATAGTTTGCAAGTGGGATTGGCGTTGCCTTTACACCCTAACAGCCTATTTTTGAGCATGCAAGCTCTATACGCTATGACAAAAAAAAAACCCAGAGAATGCGTTGGATGAGAATCTGACCCAAGTCAATTGTTTGGAAGGTAGCCATGCTGTCCATTGTAACACCAAAAGATAGTGAGGTACAGCGCACTTGTTTTCTAGGCTACATCCATTGACTTGACATTCTGACCATTTTTACTGTCTGTCAAGCAAGATATGGTAAATACTGCTGATTCCCAATCATAACGAAAGAAACAATTGCCCACCTGGGATCATTGGTCTAGGGGTATGATTCTCGTTTAGGGTGCGACAGTTCCCGGATTCAACTCCCGGACGACCCCTGGCGTGGTGCTTAGTTGTGATCCTTTCTCAAATATCTGCTTGTCTATGCCCTCGACAGTTTGCAGTGATGCTGGAAATTAGGAGTGTATCCTCAAGTTGCTTGCCTATTCTTCCAATGATATGCCAGCATACCTAAACAAATAGTATTTAGTCCTTACAGTTGCATTGCTCGTGAATATTATGTAGGATGTACATATATCAGTACTCCAATACACATTTTTAGCACAGGGTTTTGAAGGCGTCAAAGACCACATCTTGAGTCCAACAACTGTGATTGGCCTCTTGGATTGATCATCTTAAAGCACGACTTCTTTCTGTTTGTCACCATGCAATTTGTCCTTGAACAAGATACCTATTTTTTGCCATGTTAAGACTTTTACTCAGGATTTTCTGTGAAGTCTTTGATGACACAGGATATTTACATTTAAGATTACAACACGAGTGGGGCAAAAACTGGAGCTTGACTGTAATCTGTCATGATCTGCTCACATGGTTAGCAACTGGGTCTGGGGTTGCCTTTACTCTCTATCAGTCTGTTTTTGAGTGAGCAGGTACTTTCAGGAAAGGAAAAACCCAGAGCATGCATTGGATGGCAATCTGACCCAAGTCAACCGTTTGGAAGGTAGCCATGCTCTCCTTTGTAACCCCAACAGATACTAAGGTACAGCGTGGTCATTCCCTCAAATATTGCGATTTCCCTCAACTGGGGTATCTAGCTTGGCCAGTCCGTCCGTGAGTCGCCAGCGCAGCGCGAAGCAGTATCCGGGGCGATCTCTCAGTTGAGAATATAGCCCGGCCTGCAAAAAGTGTTTTCCCCACTCCGGTTCTGAGCTCAAATATAACATACAACATATGACCAATTACTTCTCGTGTCGAAGCCGCACACATAAAAACTTGGAGTAACGAAGCTAGCACTAGGGAGCCTTTTGGCATGCATTACCACTTGAAATGACGAGACACGCGCTCGGAAGCCTTTTTGATGTATGGATGGTATCGCACAAGTTTTGTAGCTCGCCTCGCAATTTCAGAACACAATCAATATGATTAAAATAACTTGTTGGGAATTGCCATCCACGTGATCAAGAGACAAGCAGTTTCAACGTGGCAGAACTGTTAGCTTTTACACGTAGTTCATATCAGCTGCAGTAGATGGAATATCATCTTGCCAAAAGATTGTCATTTCAAATTATTTATTAATTGGAATACTCACCCAATTCTACCACTTGCATGAAACATGTCTCCATTAGAATTGTATTTAATGTCCTGTGGGCTCGGATTTCAAGAGAGAACCAATAAGGAAATGATATGGGTCTTGCACCACACGTAGATCAGCTGAGGATGAAATCTGGCGACTGTTGGACTTCTAAGAGCGGAAAGCCGGCGACATGATTCTAAAATTAATAAGCGGAGTCATGATTACCGAAATATATGAACATGTATTTCTTTCAGGCTACATTTACTCAAATGCTCGATTTCTGATAAACAAGTTTCAAATGTCGACACTCACACACCAATACGAATAAAAACTACTTGAAGGGGCTTCGAAAGAGGTATTACATCTAACAAATCAGTACAAGGCAGAGTGTTTTGAAACACGTAACAGTGAACAAAATGCTCTTGGACATCTATGTTATCAATATAAGCGCTGATCTACCTCAAAAACAACTCTTGTACAAGTGGACAATGCCCAGTTGCGCACACACGCTACGAGACTTGGCTATGGCGCAAATGTGTGGGGCACAGATAAGACAGAAGTGTGCGGATTGGTCATTTGTTAATGAGTTCATATTTGAGCCCAATTTCATGCACGGGCTACCACACTTCAGTTCACTCAAGAATTAAATTCAAGTTGACTCCGCAAATTTTCGGGACAACCATTGTTATCTATACAAATGCTCGCCCGTCTCACATATAGGCAATTTAATGTTATAAACGGCCAGAGCCGTCTCAAATCAGACTTACCCATCTCAGCGTCTCAGGTAAACATTGCCCGTCTCAAAGACGGGGAGACGGGCGGCTGGCTAACACTATGCTCCCAGGTGCAGCGCAACCCCGCCCACTCAGCATCTGCAAAACAGAAAACAAAAAACAAGGAAAAGGAACCAGAGCAGGATTGAGCACTACCAGGGGCCGTCACACCCTACTCCGTAAAAATGTGATCCCAACCACGGAACCAAAATTTTATCTACTTTTATTCAACTTCTTGAATTACTAACAATAAATATAACACATGAAAAATGTCTCATTTGAACCCATTTTTGTAAACCTTACCTATTTTACATTACACTTACATCATACACAATACATATTTACAAAATTACCATACAGACCTCGTGCTTGAAATTTTGCCTCACTGCCTCCACTTGCATCGCCTCCCCCCACCTCAGCAACCTGGTACCAGTAAGAAGCGATTTAAGTGAGAAAAGGGAGAGACATAAAAGAGCAGGAAACAGAAAAAGTAACGCACACAACAAGGTCAATTAAACTTATTGGCATGGAGCTCTTGACAATGCGTCTGCCACCACATTGTCAGAGCCCTTAATATGTCTTGTTTCTAACCAGTAAGACTGTAACAGTAACGACCATCATATTAATCTTTGGTTAGACGATTTAAAAGAGTTGAGGAAAGTCAAGGGGTTGTGGTCGGTGTAGAGCACCACAGGTACAACACCAGAACCCACATACACATCAAAATGCTGTAATGCCCACACTAAAGCCAGGGCTTCTTTCTCTATTGTCGAGTAATTTAACTGATAAGAGTTAAATTTCTTTGAGAAAAAACTAACTGGCTTCTCAATCCTAAGGTCATCCCCCTGTAGGAGGTCCGCACCCATCCCCAGATGACTGGCGTCCACCTGTAGAGAAAAAGGACAGTCAAACCTTAGGGCTGTCAACACAGGGGCATTACACAATAAAGACTTCACTCTCTCAAAAGCCTGTTGACAAACAGGGGTCCAAACAAAACAACCTTTGCCTTCAGCAGATCGGTAAGTGGTGCCACAACCTCAGAGAAATTCCTGCAGAAGCTTCGGTAGTTGCCCACAAGGCCTAGGAATCGCATCAGCTCTTTCTTGGTGGTTGGAAAGGGATAACGCTTAACGGCCTTTACTTTCTCCTGAACAGGACGCACTGAACCCTGCCCCACCACTTGACTAAGGTATGTCACCGTCGCCCTTACAAACTCACACTTGGTGAGATTAACAGTGAGACGCGCCTTTGCCGAGCGGGTGAAAAGAGCACGAATGCGCACCACGTGAGAAGACCAAGTGTCAGAAAAAACGACATCATCCAAATACAGTGTGCATCCCTCCAAATGTCCCAAAACCTTTGTCATAAGCCTCTGAAAAGTTGCAGGGGCATTACATAAACCAAAAGGCATGACTTTGTAGGAATACAAACCATTTGGCGTGACAAACGCAGATATTTCACGTGCCCGCTGAGACAAGGGGACCTGCCAGTAACCCTTTAACAAATCAAACTTGCTGACATACTTAGCATGACCTACCTGATCTACGCAATCTTCCATGCGAGGTAACTGAAAAGAATCCGGTTTAGTTACTGCGTTAACTTTACGAAAATCACTACAAAATCTTGGAGTGTTGTCTGATTTTGGGATTAGGAGACAAGGAGACGCCTAACTGGATGAGGATGACTCTGCAATGCCTATCTATTATCTAACATGTACGTACCTTACCTCTGCATCGAGAAACTTAACGTTTTTCTGGACTTAGCCTGTAGAATCTCCGCCTAATTGGCTTGGAATCTCCCACATCAATATCGTGTTCTATTAAGTTTGTCTGTGTGGGAGTGTCACCAAACAAACATGGGAAAGATGCGATAACCTCTGTGAGATCTGCTTGCTGTGACTCAGAGAGATGACTTAACAAACCCTGCTAGTCCTCCAATGTTTCAGAGTTTTTCAGCCTGCCCTGTAAAATGGCTGGATCTAAACAAGGTAAACCATCCTGTACCTCATCTGTCCCTGTCGGAGGCAGATAAACTGTAGACACCCTCCCCACCAAACACACTGGACTGACAGAGGCTGCACCTGACGCACGCTCATAATAAGGTTTTAGCAGATTGATGTGGCACAACTGGGTGGTCTTTCTGCGCTCAGGTGTGGAAATGACATAGTTATGCTCCGATATTTGTTTAACAACAGTATATGGACCAGAATATTTAAAGCAAAACTGGATTACAAAAACAAACTTGAAACAGAATTCAGCAATATGAACACCAAGCAAGCCTTCCAGAAGGTGAAAACCCTGACAGGAGGTGAACCCAAACCCGCATGGACAGTTAGTGACCCGAAAACCTTCACCATAGACCTGAACACATTTTACACCCGTTTTGATAATCAGGACTTCTCATCCGAGTGTCAGGCTCTGCTGAGAGCCCTCCCACCACCAGACCCTGAAGAACCGGCCCCTTTCACAGAGGAGGAGGTACGGCACCAGCTGAGCCGTTGCAAGCCAGGCAAGGCTCCAGGGCCTGATGGCATCCCAGCCAGGGTGCTTAAGACCTGTGCCATGGAGCTCTCTCCAATACTGCACTCGCTTTTCTGTCAATCATACCGGACTGCCACAATACCCACACTATGGAAAACTGCTACCATAATCCCAGTACCAAAAAAACCCAGACCCACAGAACTTAATCATTACCGCCCCATAGCCCTAACATCCATCATAATGAAGTGCCTGGAGAAACTTCTGCTGAACATCATCCTCCCACTTGTCACCCCACTCCTGGACCCCCTCCAATTTGCCTACAAGGCAAAGAGGGGCACAGAGGATGCTGTGGCCTGCCTGCTGCACCTCCTCCTCCAGCACCTAGACTCCCTAGGCAACTTCGCCAGAATCCTTTTTATAGACTTTAGCTCCACCTTCAACTCCCTACAGAAACACCAGCTGATCCAGAAGCTACACCATCTCAACATCCCCCCTCATCTGATCCACCTCACCCACAACTTCCTCACCGACAGACAGCAAGCAGTAAGGGT